TGAAATGGACAAAGTCCGACAATTATTTTAAGACAATTTTATGTTTATACATTTTTTATATATGCAAATAAATGTAATGTTGTTTAATACTGTTTATTATAAATAGAGCATTTACTTAAATATTTGTATCTATAAAAAGAATGTATAAACATACAAATGTCTTAAAATATATGTGCGTGTGTGTGTCAAATGCCGTTGTAATTTCCCTTTTTTTCTTGTCTCCTTATACTCTTCTGCTGTTCATTTTCCTTCTTTGTTCTCTCTTTAATTCTCTATCCCTGATACAGTACACTTTATTGTAAGCACTACTTGCCTTAAATATCCTTTCTTTTAGACTTGAACTGACTGAGGGCATTTCTGGCTTTACAATATCTTTCTTGTCACTATACATGCATGTATGTCTTTGGGCATAGGCGTTAACATTGCATAGTGTCTGTGAGTTTCTAACCTCAAGCGAACTCATGACCAAAGCGGGGACCTCATAGTCCCACTGTATTATAGATTTCTATCTCCACACCATTGATATCCACAACGCCCAATATTCAATTTGGAGCACTCTTCCCTGTACAGATAGCACAGTATTAATCTCGGGCATGTGAATATATTTTACAGAGGTGCAACCTGTTCAAACCGTAATATAGATTGACCTTTCTAATCCATCTAGCGGAAGGAAAACCTCCCCTCCCTTGCGTTCATATTCAAACACGAAAATGTCTCTGGAAATAAATCCAGACAGAATACTGCCCACGCACTAGCCAATTGTTTTATAACGCCTCTGTCATTTCTAGGTCAGACCTTAACATTCACCGAGGTCATTTCCTCAGGTCATTATATCAAATAGATATTATTGTCTTTGTATTAAAATGGCAACGAGTGAATGACTCCTGTAGGTCGTAAGGAAGACGATCTTTTATCGGATGTCGTGGACTGGTGCTAGATGTTAACAACCACCAATCTGTGCCAAATAATAAAAAAAACACATAACTTCCAACAACAGTATCAACTAAAATGGGTAGCACAGAAAAAAATTATATAAGCTATTGACTTTCCACACTACTTTAAACAAAAGACTAGGAAGGAAACCGTAGTCAGTACTGTCAATAATGATAACAGTGGATTTGAGAAATGTATTTTCCTGAGACATTTCTCTTTACTTCTCTATTTCTGATATAGAGTACTTTATTGTAAGCACTACTTGCCTTAAATATCCCTTCTTTTAGACTTGTACTGAGGGCATTTCTGGCTCTATAATATCTGTGTTATCACTATACATGCATGATAGAAATGTATGTATACAGCTGACCACTCGTATTTGAGGATACCCGTCTACTAGAGCGGCTAGCCAGTTCCTATTACAGACGCTTGCTCAGGTGCATTTGTGTTTATTTAACACCCACAGAGCCCACCTGTGGTTTATACTGCAACTATGCTGAGCAGACCTTAGTTACAGTTTCTGGGAAAGAGCGTGTTTTCTAGCGTGATCATCAGTTTCAACAAGGCCAGTCCTCTCAAGCTCTTGGCCACGATTACTTGTGACTTCGTACTATCACAGCTATCGACAGCATCCAAGGGTTCAGTCTACCCTGTTTCACTTACAAGGCTTGGGTCAACCCGTGGTATGGTTTTCAGGCCCTTTCCAAAGGTGCAGCACGCTGGGATCGACCCCTCCAGTCCGATAACATCAGGAAGTCTTCTTGCTGACAAATCGACCATGGTGAGATTCGAACCCGAGTTTCAGGGACAGAATGTGTACTTTCTAAGCACGTGCCCATATAGAAATATTTTACTAATTACGATAGTAGCAGTGGCTCTTCGGTCAATGAACACTAAATGTTGCCTCATAAGAAAACAGTTACAATTACCTTATCATGACAAATGGTGAACGCTTCGAAATGTCATAATATTTTGTTTATTTTTACCTCAATATTATGCTCCTTTACTGTTGAAAGCTTAAGGTGTTAATAAAATCCAGGGAAAGCATTTCTTTCTTAAAGTAAATAGAACTGATGCTACACTTTGATCTGATGGAATGTATAATGAAACATTTTTTAGTCAGTCACTCAAATGTCATATGTGATACACGCTTGGACAATCATGTGTCTTTCGATTCATTACTGACGAGGCAGAAGATTTTTCTTTTCTGCCATTAAACCCATTGCTGAGAAGGGGGGATGTGAAGGATTCATGCCTTCTCCAAGCGAATAAAATGGCGTCTTAACTCGTCAAACGAAGCAGCAGTGTGTCGCGTGTATCCTTCAGAAAGAAAGTAATTAATTAATTAATTAGAACGTCAGGCACATTTTTTGTCACACCTCAACCAATCACGGACTTCTCGACCTAGATATACACAGGTGCCGCGGAACTGATTCTACGAGTCGTCACACGGCATAAAGGAGGATTTCTTGAGACGTAACTTCTGGATTTTATTCCCCTTCATAAAATTCGCGTCCTGGGTAAGACAATAAACGACATCCAGAAGCAAGGCCTCTGATCTGTAGGTTTTGAGGAGCGTGGAACCACTTCTTAATTGCTGTTCCCGGGTCTACCTGACCCGGGGTGGTAGCACCTGTTAGGGTCCCAGCTATGGGCAAATAGTTAACTTTTACCAGCAATACTTTTTGAAAAAATTATTACCTGTAATACAATTTTGAAGGAAAAGTATTACCAGAAACAGATTTTTGACAAAACAAAATATTACCAGCAATAAAAAAAAAATGTTGTCAGCATTAAATAACCCATTGAGGTTGATATGCCATAACAGAAAATAAACCAAACAAATAAAACCCTCATAAAATTCTACGATAGTCCATAAGCGAGTGTAACACACTCGACCGGAATTCGAACATTCCATTTTTGCTACTGTATTTCAAGAAATAGTTTTATATATATTGTATATATTAACTCTAGTCTACACGTTGGATCTTTGATAATTCACCTGAAATAATATAAAGGTACTTATTGCAAATATTAATTTACCCGAAGAAATTATAAATTTTAGATCAAAGTTTGTTTTCTTATTAAATCTTTGGCACTCTTTTGAAATTAAAAATTTTAAATCAAAATTTGTTTAGCATACTTCGCTACAACTCTAACTATCAGAATGAAAAATAATCAAAAATCATGGAGTTATTCAAATGTTGTAAGTGCAGATGATATTCGAGCTATTAACATGGATTCTTTACAATTTAAAAAAAAAATCCTGTTTTTGACTTGTGTATCGGAGTGAGCGCGACGTTGACTCTACACTTAGAAATATCTCACCCGAGCCGCTCACATCTGAGGCGATAGCAAAAGTCAACTCAACAGCAATGTCAGATTCTCGTTCCTGTAGTATTTGGTGTTAATTTTAATATAAATTCTTTTTATTTAGTGGTGAATTAACACAAAAAGGTGCTATTCGTTTTGAACTGATTTGTTAAAACAGAATGCAATACACTTAGTATTCTAAGAGTTAATCAGAATTCTAAACGCTCTCTTTGACTGAACAGCACCGAGTAATCTTGCTCATAGATTTACTCGTAGATATTGTTTGAGGAAGGGAAAAGTTCCTGCAGGAAGAATGAAAAATCTTTTGAGCTGCATTGTGTTTTTTGACTTGGTCGTTTATTTCCTTGTTTCAATATTGCATAATCTGAAATTGTCTATCGATAAAACTGAATTCTTTCTTTCTTTTCTAGTTGTTCTGCTGAAAGAACTTGCTGATAATAAAATATTGATGGCTGGAATTTTGGGCGGTGTGCAAAACCTCAGCATCGGTGAAGGAATCGACTTCCAGATGATAAAACAGGTAAAAGAAATACTCTCCTCCTCATATATATGTATGTGTGTGTGTGTGTGTGTGTGTTTAGGCAGCAAATTCTCTTTTAGACATGTCTGTTTAAATACACTACACACATTATGTCTGCATATTTTTAATATTATCCGTTCATCCTCACATACAACCTTCTGTGTATTGCAGTTAAATGATGTGAGAAATGTGCTATAAATATGTAAATTGTTTTTATTTCCAATTTCCCAAGTACTTTCGATTTTCTTCCGAGATCATCTTCATGGGTGCAAGTAGTAATACAAAAACTGTTTTTGCTATCCACTAGCGTATTTTTTTTTTTTTTGGTTTAAATGCAACGGTTGACAGTCAATATATATATATATATATATATATATATATATATATATATATATATTTCACTCTGAGGAAAATGCAATCGTCAGCTGCCGATTGGAAAAAGAAGGGTCGGTTTCTACCGTGAGTCCCGACCTACGTGGATACCACTTTTCACAAGCCACTTTTGACATGTTCGTTCTTTCGCTATACCTTATCCATAGTTCAATAGTTAAAAACGGCTGCGGTCAAATGAAGCCTGTCGAGCTTAATGATGATCACACTTGTTCGAAACTCGTAAACAAACGCAACATAATCACAAAGGACCGTACCAAATAAGAGAAACAACTTGAGCACTTCCAAAAGCAGGAAAATTGCTCCAAATCTATTTAGTCGGACCTGTATCTTTTCGTTTCTTTATGTATGTATGTCTATGCAAGTTCAGCAGTTAATGTTTTTTTTTTTAATCCGATATTAAACTGAATAAGGTGACAGAATTCTTTTACTCTTCAAGAGTTTCTATTTTCTCAACTGAACTGCATGACGAATTTGTTTGCATAATTGCCATAAGACTGCTGTTCCTCCCCAGTCATATGTAATCTTTGTAAAAGGTTGCATGAAAGAAGCACTCATACGGGAGTTCACTTTTGTAGAAATGTCTTCAGGAAAGGTATGCATCCGTATTTTTCCCGCTATGTGTTAAATAGCTGGACTTCTCTGACTTCAGATCCGTCGGAGAAGGCAACGGGAAAATCACTCCACTATCTTAACAAAGAATGCATGATAACACACACATAATAAAGAAAAATCTATTGGAACTCAAAATGGATATTACTTTAAACAATTTATTTTTTTAGATTAATTTAACTTGAACTGTTATTTACTGTTAAATGTAAGT